AGAATATTATTTCATTTATTACATCCATTTTACTACGATTGCATTTTATTTTATTTCATTGGACATATGGTTGTATTGAAAATCATATCGATTTTCCACAAACAAACACCCACGGCCCATTTGGTGACGTACGATTTTCAATAATTTTCAATCAACTCACCTGTGCAATGAATCTGGTTTTTCGGATGCATCGATATCCCCAAATTGAATCAATCAAATTACTTGTGTTGATAAACTCTGATATATTGAATGGGCTGAAAGTCCATTTGGATGAAAATGCAAAATGCAGATTTGGCTTTCATTGATTTTGTCATCATCCAATTTGAATGTCTGATCAGGTGGAGAGTGTGATCTCTACACGAACGTCGACGAAAACAACAACAATAACAACAACAACAACAACACAACCACCACGAGTATGTGTGGCATGACTCATCAATTTTGAGGGAAATCTTTTCATGTTGAAAAGCAAACAAAACGCAATTGACGAATAAATGAAGCTGATTGAGCGCGCTGAATTTGCCCACATGCCCATAAATAAATTTGCTTATTCATGCAATCTAATTTGAGTTTCTAATCAAAATGCTTACCAGTTGATTTTACACAGCGAAAGCACTTGAACCTCTTGTGCTTTTAGCCTTTTTTCCCTTCCTTTCTATACGACTTGTTTCCTTATGCTCTCCCCGTGGCTTTTACCCAGTTGCATTTAAATGCTTGTAAAATATTGTTTGGCAATAAAAAAAAAAGAACGAAAGAAAAACGTGCATATAAACTGTTATTAGAATATCGGAAACGGTCATAAAATTGTGTCGGTTCATAATGGTAGAGGTAGAGAATGGCACAGAACAGCCTAGAATGGCTCACATAAACTTGATGATCAAAATAGAAGAGATAGGTGATAACAGCATTCGATGAAATTACTTTTGCATTTACCGTGCAGCGCATAAAGCCAAGCCAAGCCAAGCCAGACGGACGAAGAACCAGAAAGAAAATTCATTCAAGCATTTCTACTTACCGTAAAGCGCACTCATCGTCTTTGCCATTTCCTTGCAATTTTCATATTTACGGAAGTCACATTCACAACAACTCAAATGACCGTGTGACGTGTGTGTTCATATAACCCTTTCATACGTCACCCACCCAACCTCTTGATCACCAAATCGACTGCCTTTATACGCTATACGCCCCACGCATACTGCATACAAAAGCTCCTTCAACAAATAATCATAACAATTTCTCAAGTCGGATATTTATCGGTTTGTAAGAGATCCAATAAAATTAAGTGTTCTTATGTATAAAATATGGGAGCGCAAATAACAAATGCATAGGAAGCACAGTGATTGAGAAAATAAGAACACTTCAACCGGTTATGGAAACTATATTTCATAAAAGTATTTCGATGATGTCATGTGTACTAGCATTTGAAATGGTGATAGCTGGAAAATTGAACTCAATCCGATAAATGTGGATCCGATTCCGTCTATTTGCTTGTTCACTGTTGTTGTTACTGTTGTTCCTCATGGAAAGTGGTGGTCCCGGCTTTATGTTCTGATACCGTTTGAATTATGAATGAGTAGAATATAAGACAACGTGTATCATCCATCATAGCATTGTGCCTGTGTTTTTCCATTTTACGCGTTCAATTGGTTGGAATGACGTGAACCAAAAACAAGCTAACAATCATTAATTTAATTCATGTCGGTCTATTGGTCGCTGTTTTGTCTACCTCTCTGTCAAATATTCTGCGTTCTAATTTCGAAAAACCACCCGAAAACCCATGACACTGTTGAGTCATCATATTTCGAAATTAAAACAAATATTACATTGTCTCCAATGGTTATGCGTTCAAAAACTGTGTGTCAATGCGATGAAAATTGCTATCTGAGAAGACAGACACAAATTCAACAATAATTCAATAACACATAGGCACTATTATGGTTTGTCATAGGCAAAAATGAAGAAGAAAGTACTTGAGATTTTTCTAGCATATTATCAAGTTATATGTTTGAGTGGGTAAAAAGAAATAATCGTCTTGAATTACGGCGCGACGCTCCTTATTTATACTCAACGTCGCAAAGTGAGGCGCAACACTGAAGAACACCAACACAGCACACACACACACACACACACAGCGCAATTTCATTAAAGTGTTGAGACAGACATTAACTTGTTTCAGTTTTTGCCATGAAAAGCGGTTGGAAAGAGAATACTTTAAGCATTTAATTGGTATGGTGTCTCTCTCCCCGGGGTGAGTTTCATATTCGCATAGTATATCGACATCGAAATATGCCGCGCACTGCCATCATTTAGGTGGAGTAAATAATGGCAATTTTAAACAAATTAATCATTTCTTTGCACGGGCAATTTTTTTTTTCGTTCGTTCGTTCGTTTGTTCGTTCGTTGTAGTTGCTGTTGTTGTGGTTGTTGAAGAGCTGAACTGCGCTTACCGTCATCAAAAATCATTGTGTGACAAATCATCTCAAAGTTCAACATGGTTTCATTTTCTCTTTATTAACAACTTACGAAAGTGGTCGAGTTGATTGTTTGCACAACAATGACATACCTAAACCGTGATCAAAACCACCGCGCATATCGTGTGTTTGACAAGCGTTTGTATTTATTGGCATTTGCCAGTGCTCCGAATCGATTGTGTTTTCCCTTGGGAAATCCCATCTGAACTGAGTTACAAATAACAAAAGAAATTCCATTTGAAAATCGACAAATACAAGATAAATCGTATGTGTTCATTATATGAATGATTTTTTCTTGTTCCCCATAAACAGGGTAAACTGGAAATATGAAAAATGGATATCATAAATGAAAAGCACAAGAGGAAAAAAACAAACAATTCAAACGTATAAAAAATAATACTTGGCTTACTTTGATACCGGATTTTCAATTGGTTTTCCGTGAACAAGAAATCATTTTTCATACCGAACAATTTTCATAATGATAAAGCCACATTTACCGTTGGTTTATTTCGTTTGAATCGAATATGCGTTTCTCGTTTCATTGCGTACGCAGAGGTCGCATTAGATGGTACATTCGTTGGGTTGATTTTTACCGAATGATTTGAAAAATTTAACTTTTCAAACTATTTCCATTGGCACAAAGGAGAGAAACGCCACCTGACAAATGTGGCAGAAACAGATAGTGTGGATATACGCAGACAGAGTCACAGTATACGATGAAACCCGATTCCAATTAAGTGTCTAACGAAGTTATGTTGCCACTCGATGTTATGATCAAATGCAAACACTATTGCACGAGCGCGTGCTACATGTAGGACGGTTCTATTTCATACATTTCGTTGTGCCACTATCAACACCATAAATTTTCATGTCGTTTCATTCATCGTCATCAAAATAAATACCATAACTCAGAAATTGTCAACATTTTTCCCTCAACCACGAGATAACCACCAACATCAACATTCTCATAAGGTATTTGGCATTTTGGCGTTCTACTGCGCACACAGTATGTCAGTGGCAATTGTAATTTCAATATTTTCTTATACTTTTGCATAGGCGTTATTCTCATGGGTAATTTTATATGAGATCATGCTGTGTGATGCTTGTCTTCCACTAATGTCTTTTCAATTTTTCAATGCTGCTTATGGAAGCGCCGAAGCGCGGGCGAGCACATCACCACAGAGACACAGAGAGAGAGAAAGAGAGAGAGAGAGAGAGAGAGAGAGAGAGAGAGAGAGAGAGAGAGAGCGAAAAAGTGATGAGTGGAACGATAAAAGCTACATGATGGCTGTTATACTTTAATATTTACTCGCATCTTGTGGTTTTTCTCTACCATAACTACTTCATATCCGCTCTGATTTTAATCCCATCATGACTTTGACACAGGAAAACGGCACCATGTCACTTTGATCTCATCATGAAAGTATAAAATGTAATGAATAAATGAGGAAAATAGTTGTGGTTGATTAAATTTTAAACAATAGAAAGTCGTGCACTTTGTCGTCATTTTTCTTGTGCGTTCTCTCTCCCTCTCTTTCTCGTCGCCTCTTATGTCATTATTCTTGCCATATTCAATTATTTGACTAGTTCTGTAGTTTTTTTTGCATGGCGTTTTCTAACACTTCAACGACTCGATCGAATAAAGTCCTGCAGAGAAGATATTCCCCGACCAAACGGAACCATGCAAACTAAAAGCATTCCGTTTGTCATGGAATGAAAAGGAAATTGACATAAACCAATCAGCAGTTGTGGAGAAAAGACAAAATGCCTCCGGCGAAAGAATGTCACAAAAAGCTTACAGTCTTCACGATTATAATCTCATTCATAATCACTTAGATGACCAAAGTCACACCTAATGACCTATCAAGCATCATGATTGAAATGTGCTTAAGAGAGTGTACCTCCGCCTGATTAGATGGAACGCTCTCTCTGGATTTTGAGATCTGTTTTTTTTTTCAGAAAAGCCTGGTTGTTGGACTTTTTCGGAAAATCCCCAAAAAATCCATAAGTGCCAACCACTTTTGTTTTAAAATCAGACTCCCATTGACAACGATTCACTGTATCATCGACTTAGCCTCGAATCGAACATGGAGCACTTTGTATAAGTGGAATCAATGCCATATTCAACTCATCTATCTAATCTAATTGTGATGACGTCAGACACTGATGTCTGTGAAAGTGCAATAACGTCATCTCTGTCGTTCAGCTCACAAACCGAATTGTTATTTTAACGGTTTAAATCATACAACGCACTTACTTGATGTGAAACAACGTTTCTAATTAAGCTGCTTTAACTGCATCCCAATGACGGTTTAAGCATCCTTCATCATAATAATGTTATCATTGTTACGCGATTGAAATTATCGCTGAAGCAAATAAAAATTGAAACTTTAATCGCTGCACGAAGTACTAATATAATTCTTTGCTCATTACATTTCCCGTTGGATAATGCGATGAACATTTTACTAAGCAATAACAATATTGAAGCAGTGAAAATAAAATTTTTACCAATATTTGTTTCGATTTCAGCCATTTAAATAAAGCGAACATGGAAGTGTCAACGATGGCGTTCCTCCTGAGTAACAGCAGTAGTTTAGTACCGGCAACGACAACGGCCATATCAATCGTAGCACCCACAACGATTTCAACGACTACCACAACATTCAGCATGCCATTTCTATTTACATCCATGTCACACCGAAATCTCAACCATCTCGCCAAAGTGACCGCTAGCACCAGGCATCACAAAAAAGACTTTTCTCCGGTTACATTGTCAACGGAATGGTCGAGTATGGCCCGATTATTGGTGTTGGCGTGTTTATCGGTGATTGGAAGCATTGGAAATGTTTTTATGATATCATCCGTTATGATTGAGGATCATTTAAAAAAGGCTGGTGAGTCCGCTTCGCATTTTCTGCATCTTTGCTTTCGACAATTCGTCTCTTTTCTTTTATCAAGTCTCCCTTTCATTTTCAATCGAAATACTTTCTACTCTTTCTTCACAACGGGAAATGCAAGTTTTTTTTTCTTTTGCCAATAAACAATAATGCATTTTTGAGATATTTTTTTTATGTCTTTCAAATAAATCTCTAACATTCAAACACTAGGTCACAATTTTTTTCATCCATTCAAACACTAGACAATTCAAATATTCTTCGCTTCGCTACTATTTTTTAAAACTTAGTTTCACTTCCTGAGAATAAAAAGATGATAATTAATTTCTAAACAATTTTCACAACCATGAGAATGCAATTTATGCCATTTACAGGCAATTCCAAGCATTTTTGCTCACTTAGCATTCCGTTTCATTTCGATTCGATGATGAGTGACGTCGAATCAAGTTAGCATTTCGTTCATTTTTCAATTATCCCTTTCCCATCTTTTTTTTGCATTGATTTTTTGTTCCAAAATTTTCTCTTTTCAAAATATTTAGAATGTTTTTTTTTAAACCATAAACAAAAAATACCACAAATATTTTTCCAGGTAATGCATTTATAGTAAGTGTAGCGTTAGCTGATTTATTAGTATCTAGCATTTTGATACCAACATCGGTAGTTGTTTTGCTGGCTGGGTTTGATGAAACGTCAAAGGAGATTTGTAGAGTGCAATGGTTTTTTGCTGCCTGTGCATTTTTAGTGACTATTCTCTCTTTAGCCGTAAGTAATCCAAATATTTGCAATGAATGTCACCTGTCGTTCTGTTGCTCTGTTTTTCGTTTCGTTTCGTTCGTTCGTTTTATTTCTATATTTTCCGTTGGTTTGTAACAAATTCAACATATTCCATTTTTCCAACAATTTCATATTAATTTTCCATTTTCATTTACGTTGGCTGCTCGTTCGTTCACTCGCTCGCTCGCTCGCTCGTTCGCATGCTCCGGGTTTTGGTGATTATTTCGTTTACATTTTAGCAGCTCAACGCTCTTTTCATTTGATAATTTTTTGCAGCTGCATGTGTATATATACACACTGTACGCGCCCTGCAAAATAATTGATCAACATAATCTGTGTTTTAATTAAAAATGACATAGAAGAATTTTACCAGAGATTGCAAACGTTCGAGTGTATGAAGCACGTACCTAATTTAAGCGATAATTAACTGGGGAAATGTGTGCTGTTTCGTTCTCGTTCCTCATAATTTTCCAACGGATGCCAATTTTGTCATTTTGTCATTTTGTTTACTTGGCACTGCGTTGAGCCTCACAGCAATTGCATTATCATTTTCCATTCTGCATTCAACAAAATTGAAATATGCTCATCCACCATTTTCTAGCTTAGATTTTCATCCATATATTATGCTATAATACATTTTTGCGAGTTGAAAATGTTGCTGAACACTGCTACTTCAATACTTGCATATATATATTTTTATGTACATGTATATTTGTGTATTTGTGTTGGTATATCGGGGTGCATTGGTGCCCAATTTATATTCCACGTGTTTGGCTAATGTATGTTTTATTTTCCGTATTCATTCTCTTCTTCTCCTTTCTACAGTTAACAGCATTCGAAAACTATTTACGACTGTGCACGCCTCAGGATTCACCGTCATGGTTCAATCGCAGTAACACAACCATAATTCTATTAACCGTATGGCTGGTGGCATTCGTAGCATCGGGCATTCAGTATATATCAAATGTTGGCTTTGACTTTTGCAATTGCGCATGGAATGGATTGGTGCCGTATCAGATGGCCATTTTTGCAATACTCATTATTGTTCCGATCATCATCACATTTTACACACACTTGCGCATCATATTGGATGTAAAACGTTTCATGAATACGCCTAATTTTAAGCCAAGTCTCAATTATACATGGGATTTGTCATTGGCCCGCACCAATTTTTATAGTTTCATCATATTTGTGGCATTTTGGTTACCATTCGGTATTGTATTGTCCTATCATACATACTATCATACGTACCATCATATAACGGCCGTTGTGAATAAACGCTCATTCTATACAACCGCATGGATTGGATTCATCAAATCGTGCTTTCACAATGTCATCTATTGCATCACGAACCGGCACTTTCGCAACGCTTACGTAAATTTATTTCATTATTGTTGCTGTAAAACAACCGTTTCGGTATCGAGACGACAAAGGAACGATACATGCCGACCACCGTCCGATGTACGCGTTCACATCATACCTGGCTATAATATGTATTCGTACACAAGTCCACGATCGGGAAATTGTCATAATTACTGGAGCAAACGAGATGTGCATGAATTATGATCTGAATAGGAGCACGAGCAAACTCGGTTCAACCGTGCACGAACGCATCAGTCAATGCACGCCGTGGACTTTGTCTAATTCAAGTGTGTATGTGTACGTCTAAGTGTGTGTCTGTGTGTTATGTGTGCCATGGTGTACCCATTTCTCTTTGTGATCGGTGTCATTTTGCTTTTGCCAAGTGGTCGTCCTTTGGTCGATAGTGGCATTTTTTTTTGCCCCACGAGTCCTAAAACGCCGAGTTTGCCCATGCTTGCTTTCGATAACAGCTTCGCCAAACATAATTCTCTTTTGTTCGCATTTATACTCGCAGCTATCTAGACATACTTAATGCCGCGTAGATAAATTCCTCGTACGGTATTCGAATATCAAATGGGCCAAGCAGCAGTAGAAACAAAACAAAAAAAGAAAAAGAAATAAAGCACTCAACCATCTCATCAGCATACCGTATGATGCACGTAAGTTTGATGAATGGTTAATTAAACGAAAATGGTTGAAACCATATTTGTTCGCAAATACCATAACAACCATGTATATAAAATACTTATTTTTTATCAAAGAAAAAAAAGGAAAAAAAATAGACGCAAAAAGCTGAATGTAGTGTAAAAAAAACATCGATGTAGAAACGAAAACTATGAAGAAAATAAAACTTTCTTTGAACAAAACACGCTCTGATGACATTTTTATGGCTGCTTGCAAAATAACATATATTTTATACTATAAACTATTTTATGGATCAATAATTTTTATCACGAATGACATTTTAACTGAACACGCAAAAAAATTTATTATTTGAACACACAAAATCTAAATTTTGTTGAAAATCAACTTATTGTTTTTGCTGTTGTAGCACAAATGATACACAATTGTACTTACTTCAAGTGAATGCGCATTTCGAAACGCTCTACGGGCGTTCATCATCAACACTGACACGACTCTCGATTTTGCCGGTGATTTGAGGAAAAACGACCACACACCAACACAACGCAAAAACAGCTGACTCAGCAACAACAAAATATTCGCCGCATCAAATCAATGCAAATAAGCAGGACTGTATGTTCCCGCTTTCCGCATTCAATGGTGCTGTCTCTCTCTCGATGTAATAACTCTCATACGCATCGAGCCTGCTCTGTCTATTGACATTTTTAATCAGTTCGATGCTATGGTCACTTTCATCGGTTCCATTTAACAGTTTTTTTTAACATTTACAGTTTTCTTTGTTAGTTTCGAACCCGTGCGTTTCGAGAATACATGGTTTGCCGAAAATCCATAAACCGGGAAACTCAATGCGACCAATTATTCCGTGTACAAACACTCCGTGCAGCAAAATAGCTCAATGGTTGGTAGGCGAAATGAAGAGTTTGCGCCCCTTCGAAAGTATGTCGGTTAAAAACTCTTTTGAATTCGTTGAACAACTAAAAGATGTTGTTTACGAGTGCGATGAAGTGAGTGTTTCGTTTGACGTCGTGAGTTTGTTCCCGAGTGTACCGATAAATGAGACGTTGGATTGGTTTGATGAATATTTAGCCGAGAACAATGTGTGAATTGAAAAGAGAATTGTATACAGTAGAGCCGCAAGAATGTGTATGTCGCATGGTTTTTTTCAATTTAGGTAGAAATTTTACAAAACCACGAAAGGAACTAGTATCGGTAATCCGTTGAGCCCCTTCATGGCTGAGTTGTTTATGTCGCGATTGGAAATGAAACTGAAACGCGAAGGAAAATTGCCTCGGTTTTACCACAGATATGTGGACGATATTTTTGCAGTGGTTAGAGAATCGGAAATTGATTCGGTATTAAATGTGTTCAACAGCCAGTGCGAATCTATTAAATTCACCTGTGAAAAAGAAAACAATGGAATTTTGTCGTTCCTTGATTTGGAATTGACACGTAATCGGCAAAATAAAATTGAGGTTGGTGTGTTTCATAAGCCAACATCGACCAAGAGAGTCATCACAAGCGACTCATTTTGTCCGATTCAACACAAGCATGCAGCGTTTCATTCGTTAGTGCACAGACTGGTCAATTTGCCACTCTCAGTAGGTACATTTGTGAAGGAATATAGATATATTCTTGATGTGGCTTCTTTAAACGGTTATTCAAAGGCTCTGGTTGATCATTTGTTGTTAATCAAATATACATACGCGAAAAAGAGCACAAAATCTTGATACGACTCTATACAGTCAGAATAACGGAACATTAAGTGAAAAGTAGAATTAAGAATCGTTTGAGAGAACACAAAATAACACCGGTTTATTCAAATAATCACAAAATGAAAAATCGTTTCGCGTCGACAAAAGATAAAATTAGTGATAATTTGAAATCGGGCATTTATGCAATTGAATGTGGTGTGTGTAAACTCCGCTATATTGGGCAAACGAAAAGAAGCATAGCAGTTCGATATAAAGAACATTGTAGTTGTGCAAAGAAGAAGAAAATGAGAGAGTCAGCGTTTGCCAAACATGTAGTGGAGAGTGAACATGGAACCGATGAAAGTGACCATAGCATCGAACTGATAAAAAATGTCAATAGACAGAGCAGGCTCGATGCGTATGAGAGTTATTACATCGAGAGAGAGACAGCACCATTGAATGCGGAAAGCGGGAACATACAGTCCTGCTTATTTGCATTGATTTGATGCGGCGAATATTTTGTTGTTGCTGAGTCAGCTGTTTTTGCGTTGTGTTGGTGTGTGGTCGTTTTTTCTCAAATCACCGGCAAAATCGAGAGTCGTGTCAGTGCTGATGATGAACGCCCGTAGAGCGTTTCGAAATGCGCATTCACTTGAAGTAAGTACAATTGTGTATCATTTGTGCTACAACAGCAAAAACAATAAGTTGATTTTCAACAAAATTTAGATTTTGTGTGTTCAAATATTTTATGGATGTTTTTTTTGGGGTATGTCATGTTTTTATTTTATTTTATAAACGTCAAATGTGTTAACAGCCAAATGCTAATAAACAAGTAAATCAAAAGTCATTGTTCCATTTTAATCGTTCACTTAAATTTCACTAAATGACCGCTCATTCATCACTGATTGCATTTTTCAGTAACGGTTATGGTTTATAAAATCAACTGAAAGCAAGTTTACTACATTCTATGTATGGATCCTTGCATTATATGCCAAACGAAATTTATTTAGCGAAAAAAAATGATATACATTATATACACGTTAAGCTATAAGCATTATTATTTTTTCAAATGCTAAAAGAAAGAGAGCCGAAGTGATTACAACTTCGTGGGTTAGTGATAAATCCGTAGGAGGTCATTAAAATGACGAAACTAAGTATTGCATTTAATAGGCATTTTGCTTGCATTCATTTGTTCATCAACGCTCAACTAAAACAGCACAAGCTCATCACAAACAATAGGCCATAACGAATCGTGCTAGCTCATCCTGGCTAATGTAATCATGCTGGTCATCCATCACTGTTACAATACAAGTCCAAAGCGAACCGCGAGCGTCAGAACTTCATTCAGTGCTTTAAAACACACCATGGTGTATCCATCTACACTTCAGTCATTGCTTACTCGTCGCATATCTTCTTGAGTCTAATTTATTCTTCCGTTTTCCATCAAATCTATATCTGGGTATTCTTAATTGCCTTTCTAAGTAAGCGTGTCATAGCAACCAAGAGAATAAATGGCCAATTCTTAAGAGTAAATTTAAAAAAAATTTATATTTTACGTTGTTTCGTTTGTGTGTTCCAACTTGATTCATTAGTACTGTTCGCAGTGGCATACAATGCACCGCGAACTTAAATTAAAAATTGAAATGAACGGAACCGGGGCTTTCATTTACTCTCGTTGTCGTTATATTATATTACGTTCATTCTTTTCAATTTTCTATGTTTCCATTTGATGTCTCACCCAACGAAAAATGGTCTTGATTTGTTTTTTTTTATCTCTCTATCTCGTTAGAAACCATTTAACAAATCGTTGAGCGGATGCGACTTTGTTTGATTGCATGCTGATTTTCATCTCACTCTAGCACGGCACACACACACTTTCTTCGCCTGTTGAAATTCATAAATTTTAACTTGATGAATCTTAAAAGGTGAATTCTTTTTAGAAGAATTGAAGGCATTATCGTTAATGTGGCTTTTGGTGAATGCTGCTCTGTATTATGTCTACTTCTTGTAAGAACTTTTCCACTGAGTTCGTTGGGGAGCTTCAAGTAGATTGCCATCAATTTTTCTCTATTTTTCTTTCGTGTTTTGAATTTCAACGTTTCTTTTTCCAAGGGAAAGTACAAATTAACGTTATTGTTTCAAGATTTTATTGACTTTATCCTAATTAACAAAGAGATATATGATATCGAATTAGCAATTTGCATTTGTTCTCACAAAATAGTGACTCCACGATTGATTTGTTGATTGAATTTCGAAATTGAATTTTTCCTATTGATTGCCCAGCCAACAGCTAAAATGTCTATAAATTGAAATTGAGTCGAATTCGTGTTTGGTTGCATCTGAAAATTCTTGAATTGAACCCAAAAAAAAGAACCCACCCACCTTACGAATGACACGAATAAAAGGTCTCAATTTTAAGGTAAAAATTCATCATTTTGTTGGTGTAAAAAACTCATTTCGAGTCATGCTAACACAAAACAAAGCACATGAATGCGAGGTAAACACATGACGATGTGTGTTCGAATTGAAATCAAATTCCAAGACAGATTCAATTGAAGACAAACTTTCTGCCATGTCACATATGTGTCTAAAGGTTGAACGAACCAAAAAATCAAGACGACGACGACGACGATGACGAAGAAGTAGTAGAAGAATTGAAAATGAAAACACGTTCAACATGGCAAAATACATGATTCAATTTTTGTGATTCGAGCACGTTAAACTTCTACGAGATGGATGCAAGTTTGCAGTTTTGATAAGTTAGGCAATAGTTTATATGTATTTATTTCGGCAGATGGAAGCAACCAAATGGAAATAAAGAAGAGAAATCATTTCTAAACGATGACGAGTACGAAATAAAAAGAAAATGTCAATGAATGAGACATACATCACGACGAGTCAAGTGCATGTGCGATACTGAGAGCGATTTACGTTTCGAACTTTTGTTCTGTTGCAAAAAAGGAGAGAAGCGAAAAAAGTTTAAATTTAGTTTTCTGGCTTTTCACATGAAAAAGACAAATAAATTTCGACTCAACATTTGTACAACACCTACACATACACATACGACACGTGTTGAATTTAAATAGAATATCATAAAACGTCATATGATCACATACACTTGTGCAAAGTGTAAACAATACTAAACTTTTCTCATATATAAATTTTGCGCTTCATATATCTATTTTATTAACGACGCCGTTCGAATAAAATAGTATTTTTTTTTCCATTAAAAAATTGTTTTCCCTCAAAAATCCCAAAGTTGAGAAGAAGAAAATCGTATTACATTGACAATTCAACAAAACCGACGAAAGACTGTATTCAGTGTTATACTTGTTCGGACTAGCAGTAGCACTTAAACATCAACAGCAACAGCCACACACTCGTGTTGCTTCTTCAGACCAATCTTCAATTTTAAATGTTTAGATAACTACAACTGGAGCTCATGCATTTTACGAACGAAAAACAAATAATACCATAAATACTTTCGAAAATTGCTTGCAAAGCAACTGAAGGCACACACACACAATACCACATTTCCGCATCGAAATTCAAAGTCATGCCGAAAAATGTCTGTGGCAACCAATTTGTTGCCAAGTAATTTCGTTCAACGAAGAACAATTTCAAAGTTTTCACATCCAGAACATATCACAAACCGAATTAAATGAATGCAATACGAACGGTAGCGGTTTGCTGCTATGCCTACGAAGTTATATTCGCATCGAATGTCTCAAACCAATTGTCCAGATGCTTATAATCGAGTGGAGGCGAATCAAGTGGGTAGCTTTATTAGATAAATCAATATTGTTCAAGCGTTCAACGACAAAACCATTCCAAAATGTTGAATCCAATCAAATTCAATGCATTTAGAGACCAATTTTTTTGTTCTGTTTGTTTGCTATTGCATGGGTTGAGGTCAGACTTTGCGATATATATCAAGCAAGAAGAGAAAAAAAACAACTCAACTGTTTTCTGTAGAAAAATGACTGGCTAAAATTATCATTTCGTCACATATACCACCCCCCCCCCCCCCTCCAACTTCATTGACGGACCATCAATTGACATTTCCACTCATGATTATCACGTGAAAATTGTTTCCTAACGCATCATCATCCAAAACCATTTGCGCGACAAATAATAATTAAATGAAATATATTTGAATGTGCTGAAAATGAAAACTAAAAGCAAACAAACATTAAAGCAACGTCTTCATACAACAAATTCGATGTGCTAAATTCATATTAAAAATAATATTTAGATAATATAAACATATTAGAATGAGCGAGAGTGGACGAGAAGAAGAAGAAGAAGAAGATTCAGTGTTGAGAAAAGAGAGAAAACAAATAATGATTAAATTAACAAGAACAATGACCGATGACTTAAGCATTAATTTATTCTTATGAAAATTACAACAAGCTTTTAATTATTATAAATTTTTCGTGAACTTGGCTTTGCAACGCAACAACAACAACAACAACAAATGAATATTAATGAGAGCCTGTGGGCCAATGAACATACACCGTTTTAAAATTATAATAATATCATACAATACACTATGCTATGCAGAAGAGGTTTATTCTCTCATAAACATCGTCCGTCTCATAAAAAATGGAGCAATTCCGTCGGTTTGTTCCGAGCATAAATATTTCGTTGTGCCATTTCTACCCATGATTATATGTGTGTATGGCTGTTTCTTTTCTTCTTTCAAGCAAAGTTTCATTCTCCTTCACTCGTACCTCTGTTCATTTCAGTGGAACTACAACAATAATAACCATAACCACCATGAGAGAACACAACTTTTTTGAAAACATATTGAAGCTGCAAAAGTTTTTGAGAGAATAAATATAAAAGTAAACGGTGTGTTGTTGTTTTTTTCATTCTTATATATTTTTTTTCGTGTTTAAGATGAAATGAATTAAATGTGTTGCCTTTTTAATAACTGTGATGTAATTCTATAAAATGTATGAACAAAAAAAAACCACAAAATGTATGGAACGAATTATGGAAATGTTTATTTAATGGTAAAATGTATGTATTCACCGAAGTAGAGGAGTAAAAAAAAAACAGAAAAAAAACCGCACGTATCGGCCACAAACAGTTTTGGAAAAACCGTTGGAAAAAGCAAAGTGGAATTATATTGTTCATGTCGTAAATTCGATGTCATTTTGTAAAATCGTATCATTTCCACGATTATAGTAAAAACGACCCAACACTATTCGTGTATATTTTTCGCTGGAAGAATTGAATTCATATTTCTACAATATGCTTTGTTCACAGCGAACGTTTGCATCATTCAATTCCTTTGTTGTTTTCTAATCTCATAATGTACGAACATCAAAGAAAAAAAGAGAGAAAAATAAGAAGAAGAAAAAAAAGAATACCATAAAAATGGGACCATTTAAGAAAGGAAAGGACTTAAAAGAAAAAAACAGAAATATTTCAGTATTTTATTTTTACTTTGTAGGCATATTAAATGGCACCCAGAAATACACACAAAAGCGTTTCACATGAATACCAAAATCCGAATGAAAAAGAATTTACCAAAAAAAAAAAAAATAGACAAAAATATCGTCTAATGAAAAAGCGAAAATCTTTTGAGAAATTGAACACAACCAAGCCACCCGTATCCAAAAATACGCAATGGTGGTATGTTTATATGTGGTATTTGTTTTGTAAGCAATTGCACTTGGAAATCGATGGAAATCAGCGCCAATTACACTAGGATCAATCGAAAATGAAATGCCAAATGTCATCCGTATTATATGTTGTTTTTCCCCGTTTCTTACGTTCCTTTGACAAAAGCATTATTTGCAAATCATTGTAATGGGGTGGTTTCAGTTCAGCGATAACGAGCCAAGATAAAGGGCAATGAAAGAGAAGAAGAAAATGGAACAACAACATATTGTGATACGAATTCCGTGATGTTGTTGCTCTTGTTGTTGTTGTCGGTTTGTTTGGACGTGTTCAAAGTTAGGACATCGGAAAAATTCTTTATGTAACTCTCCCTCTCCCTCTCCGCTTCTCTCTTCCATTGCATTGCGCTGCATAGATCCCGCAAATTTTGATCTTTTTTGTTATTGTGATTGCGTGGGCTGTCGGCGAAAGGTTAACTATTGCGCACAAAATCGCGATCCAATTCACGGTAATTGCCTCGTGTGTGCTTGATGGCAAAATGACTAAACTGATAAAAAGTCAAAATAAAGATAGAGAAAAACAACGGAATCGTCCGCGCGGGCGAACCCAGCATGTGTGTGGATGAGAAAGAAATCGCGCGCGCTCAAGCATTTGCGTGGCAGACACAATAATAAAGAACCAATCAACAAAGCACAACCATAGATAGCACAGGCGACTCTATCGCTGAATACTTTGGCCATAAAATAAAATGAGTAACGTTTATTGGCCGTAATAAAAACGGAGAAGGCGAGAGCGAGAACTCAAAAGAGAAAAAGGAAGAAAAAAAAAACACGAAATTTTCACATAAAATTCACGAATAAAGTTTTCTTCACGATTCTTAAGACAGAGGCAAAAACAAATCGCTTGTAGATTCTGCGCTTCTTATTAGCACTCGTACATACCAGGTTCTTAAGCAATGCACAGAGACAATGTAACGTATGTAACGTAACGAAGTTCGCCAAACAAATGGAAATTTGTTGGTTTTTCTCTCGCTCTCTCTCTCTCGCTCTCGCTCTTGCTGGCTTGCTCATTCGAGGGCAAATGAAGTAAATGAGTTTGAGGAGCAATTTTGATTACAACAACAACAACAACAGCAACAACAACAGTGGACTACAATCGCTAGGGTGTTGTTAAAATAAGTGGGATTTAAAAGTTTTCCATATTTTTTGCATTCGTTTCCTTTCGTTTCATCATTCATTTGTTGCGTATCCTTTTTTTCTTGGTTAATTTCATTATAATAATATGAAGAATGAAACAAAAGAAACGAAAAAACCACTGGAAATTCGAAATGAACCGTCGTAGCCAAGTCTGATGATGAAACAGAATCTTTAGGCTTATTTACGATAAGACGGACGTGTATGTCTGTGTGTAGAAACATTTACGATTTTCGAATTAAATACGGATGTAATAAAGAGGAAAAGCTTGTAATTGTTTCAATACGTCCAGGTTATTATGCAGTCATAACCACGAAGCAAAAGGCAAAAGACGGTGACAGAATAAAAAGAACGGTTCATGTTATACTCGAATTCAGACAAAGTGAATTAGAGAGAGCATTCCCTCGTAATCCGTTTATTATTCAAATCACACCAAAGACAAGAAGTGAGAATGTCACACAACAAATAGCAATAACAAACTCAGATTCGATATCAGAACATGAGACATCCAAAACGAAATACTGTATAAATCGATATATGAATGTTAATTGTGCTTTGAATGTTTTAAGTAATTCTTATATACAATAATAACAGTATGTTCTATTTATTAATATCATGTATGTGAAATGCCGTAATGTGAACGAAATCAAAATAAATATTTTATCAACAGAGCAAAAAAAAAAAACATTTTGATTTCTTTTTATTTATGAAGAGTAAACATTCCTTACAATTATTCAGACGTTGTTAAAATATATCATGGAAGAAGCACAAGCAAAAGGAAGACCATGCAAAATAAATGGAAAATAATAATGCATGTGAATTCATCGGAAGAGCGAACACTTTAATGGTTGCGCCTACTACACATCAGCGGAACATATTGACATTGGTAGGTATTGGAATCGGCTAGGACATGAGTATGGATGGGTATAACAGGAAAAAGGTAAATGTCCTTGCTTACAAAAGTGATTGTTTTAGCCGCGCAAAGCGTTCTCATACAATTCGATCACCCGATACTGTCTCACCAAGTCAATGTCACGAACGCATGGTGCAGCCGGTTTGACGGGTGGTTCGTAGCATAACGGTTTTAAGCCCGAGTAAAATGGATTATTCGCACTATAATACTCGATTCGTCGACGTTGCGACTGTTGTGCTACAAAATTAAAAATTTCCGTCAAACATGCACATTGCCAGGGATTGCCCTCAACCGATAGCTTTTGCAAATTGTTGAATGCTTTCTTTGTTGTTGGCAAAAATGTCAGTCGATTATGTTTTATCTGTAGCTCCGTCAGTTGGCTTATATCTTCAAACGTTTTCTGTGGTATCCATTCGATTTTGTTGTTGTGCAAGTGTAATCGTTGCAAATTTACCAGCGGTTCAAATATATTTTCAGGCAACGAAACGATATTATTTTGAGCCAATGATAAAAAGTCTATATAAGGCACCCTAACAAATGTTCCGACTGCTACACTTGCAATGCTATTCTTTGGTAGAAAAAGTTTTTGCAACGGAAGAATTTGACTTCCGAATATATTGCCGTCGATGGATCGCAACGAATTCGAACTTAGGTCCAATCGTAATATTGATTGAAGGTGGGCAAATGTGTTGGTTTGTATGTTCACCAGAGCGTTATTCTTCAGTATGAGTGTGTGCAATTTGGTCAAACCGACGAATGATTGATCGTTCAAGTTGGTGAGTATATTTCTGGAAATATTCAAATTGAGCAGCGCTTGCAGTTCACGAAATGCCTGGCTTTTGATTTCATTTAGATCATTTTCACTCAAGTCTAGTATATGCAATCGACTCAGGCCCTGGAATGTATTTGTCGATATTTGTCGCATACCGTTGCTAGATAAATTCAATTCTCTCAAATTGTTCAAACCAATGAACGCACCATCTTGAATCGTTGAAATGCCATTTTCTTCGAGCTGCAGCAATGTCAGTGCACCCATGTTGCGAAACACATTGTTCGGTATCTGTTGAAATTAAATTGATTTTTAGTCTGAACGAAAAAAAAATAGAGCTTGAAACACTTCGTTTACCTCATTTATTGAATTTTCACCCAAATCCAGAACGTTCAATCGATTCAGGCGGCCGAGCGGTGCAAGTGCTCGTATTCGATTAAATCGTAAATTCAAATGTGTTAGCTGATTGAGATCTTCAAATGTATTTTGTTCAATCGTTCCAATATTATTGTCCATCAAATTCAACAAGCGTAGCTGTTTCAAGTGTCGAAATTGTGTTCGTTTCAGTTCAACTAGTTCATTGTGACTTAGATCCCATTCCAAAATGTTATTGTTACTGCTGAACCAACCGTCACCGATGGCACGAATCGATGCATTTGCCGAATTCAAACGTTTCAACGATGCATAAGGAGCAAAGGCCGAATTTGGTATGATCACTACGCCAATGTGGCTCAAATCCAAATCTTCCACATAACCTACATTATTGCCATCCGTATCTAAATAATCAATGCAAAACTGTATTGAAATCACTTTGATATCGAGTGCTAATTATTTTTTTTATTGTACCTGCAAGCGAGAATGTGCCCGTATATGCAACCACTTTGATATGCTTCCAACCGGGACGAAATTCACGTGATATATCTCGCATATAATTGGAGCTACCACAAATTGCACTCTCAGTCAAAAATGTGTAAGCGCATCGCTGGATAATTGTTGATGTTGTTTGAAATTGTGCACATGTCAACGAAATGAACGAAAGAAACAAAATTTCACGAAAAAAATGCATCATCAATACGTGTTTAAAATTGTGTTTGACACGTTCTACAAAAAAACAAAACCGTTTCACTGATTGGTTAAAACACTGCAAAAAATAGCAATATCAATTTGATTAATACATGACGAACGAAATGAATATTAAAATGATGCACAAACGAGCCAACATTCAAACTTTGCTATCGATTTTCTTCTAAAAAATACAAGTAAACCGGAATCCAAGCTGCAATCATGTGTCGTAGTTCACATGGAATGATGATGTTTATAGTATTCGTTTTAGTTCAACTTTCCTTCTGTGCCAATAACTGAAGCAGAGCACACAAACGAATGCTTAGCATCACG